AACCCCCCCCCCCAGCCGGGTGTTGTCTGGACACTGTCTGAGGGTGCCCTCAATCCCCTCATCCAGATCATGGATAAAGACACTGGACAAGACTAGCCCCAGCACTGAGCCCTGAGGGACACCACTGGTTACCAGCCACCAACTGGATTTGACCCCGTTTACCACGACTCTCTGGGCCCTGCCACCAGCCAGTTTTGTACCCAGTGAAGAGAACACTTGTCTGTGCCACGATTCACCAGCTTCCCCAGGAGATGCTGTGGCAGATGGTGTCAAAGTCCAGGTAGACAACATCCACAGCCTTCCCCTCACCCAACAGGTGGGTCACATGGTGATAGAAAGAGATCAGGTTGGCCAAGCAAGACCTCCCTTTCATAAAGCCCTGCTGGCTGGCCCTGATCCCCTGGCTGTGCCACACTTGCCATGGGAGCTCCCTCAAGATCAGCCTCTCTATGATCTTTCCTGGTGCTGAGGTCAGGCTGACAGGCCTGGAGTTCCCCAGATCCTCCTTCTAGCCCTTCTTGTAGATGGGGTCACATTAACCAGCCTCCAGTCCTCTGGGACCTCCCCTGTTGACCAGGACTGTTGATAAAAGATGGAGAGAGGCTTGGTGAGCTCCCCCAGCAGCTCTCTCAGGGGGGGTCCCATCTGGCCCCAGAGACTTGTGGGTGTCCAGGTGCAGAAGCAGATTGTTAACCACTTCCTCCTAGATGATGGGAGGTTGTTCTACTCTCCACCTCTTGGTGGAACTAGATTAATTGTTGAGGGTCTGAGTCTCTTCCCATTTCTCCTGAGACGTCACTAACCATTTCCATAAAATTAAGGTGTATTTGGCTGCTGCACAGTGAAAAATTCAATAGCATCCTTTTCTGCAGGGTTTATTCTAACTGAAAACTTTGCTCTTGAATTACGTTTCAAAATTTCAAGTGTGGGTAGGGTTTTTTTTCCAGGTTATGTAGCTACTTGTTAAACCTGTGGGAAATAAAGCTGCAATACAAGTTCTGCCTATTTCCCACACGCTTTCTGTAGCTATTTTTAACTCATGAGATGTCTTGTTGCATAACAGAAAATATTTTATGATTCACTGATCCGAAAAGAACAGCTCTGTCTCAAAACATGCGTTGGTGTTCTGCTCCATGCACTGTGCCACACTTTATCTTCCAGTGTTGGCCAACAGTCTTGGTTCTGTTGGTGCACAGTAAACTGCAGGTTTTCTGTTATGTTTTTGTCTGCTGGTCAGGAATGTTGGTTTTTGCCTTTTATGTGAAAGCTGAACTCCTTTGAGGCTAAATTAAAGTTCAGTGGTATTTTAAGCTGCACTTCTGATACTCCAGTGAAGCTCCAGCTTCAAGTAGTTTAAGTGTTGGTTTAGTAAGCAGTTTTCTGAGTTGGGTTGTCAGCAGTAAGCTGAGAGCTGACCTTTCCACTTAGAAACATATGGAAAATCAGACTTGGACACATGTATACTCGTGCAGAGTTAATCTGTGTGCACGGCTGGATGAAACCGGGGCCTTGTCTTGCCATACCCGTAGATCCATCTTCTACCCATCTAGGGTGCTTTAGGTCTGTTTTAACTGTCTTGGATGTGTGGGTTGTAATATCTTTGTTTTCAGTCATTCTTGAAAATGTCCCAAATTTCAGTTCAGATTCAGTCGTGCCCCTTAAAGCTGACTTATTGCAGCTCGTGAGGGGAGGAGTGTGGAGCAGTCCAGCCAGCTGCAGAGCAGAGCTGTGGGCCAGAACCACATGGGCTATGCCCAGACTTCCCTGGGTCTGTCAGTGGGTGATTCCTCAGCACAGACCTGCTGTGGGGTGATGCCTCTGGGGCATTGAATGTAAATGGATGCTGTGCCATCCATGTGGCATTCTGGAAAGCAGTTGCTGCAGGTGTGTGTTCTGGTTTGGACCTGAAGCAGGCCTCATCTCCTAAAGCTCACTTGCTTTGCTGTTCACACTAGTTGCTATGGTAGCTTGTGATTCCAAACACACTTTTTAGTATATTTTGTGTTAGTTGGCTGCAAGTTACTGCAGTGCCCAGTGCTGGGAGAAGGGGAAGGTGGTCATTCAGCCTGTTTAACTCCTGGTTTAGGAGTCAGATGTAGACTTCTGCTCTCCTCCTGTTTCTCCTAGTTATAATAACTTTATCTCTGAAAAACTGTCTTTACAAATGATCAGTGAAGAATGGCACATACATTGTCAGCAACTCTTAGCTTAGAAATAAGGATGCAATAACTGAAGCAAGAAATGGTGCTAAAAGTGAGTTTAGCTTATGAGAAGCCAAAAACTGATTTCTGGGAATGCTAGGATATTGGGAAGGTGCAACTTGGATCATTTCTGTCCTGTCAGAGAACACAAAGATTAGGTTGATCAGGGAAATTGATCTATAAGAAGAGGACCTGGGGGTGCTGGTTGACAGCTGGAAGAACATGAGCCAGCTTGTGCCCAGGTGGCCAAGAAGGCCACCAGCATCCTGGCCTGCAGCAGGAGCAGCGTGGCCAGCAGGAGCAGGGAGGTGCTGGTGCCCTGTCCTGGCACTGCTGAGGCTGCAGCTCCAGCACTGGGGGCAGTTCTGGGCCCCTCACTGCAGGAAGGACTTGGAGGGGCTGGAGCGTGTCCAGAGGAGCTGCCAAGGTGGTGAAAGGTCTGGGGAACAAGTCAGACAAGGAGCAGCTGAGGTAACTGGGGGATGTTTAGTTTGGAGAAGAGGAGGCTGAGGGGAGACCTCATTGCTCTCTACAGCTGCCTGAAAAGGGGTTGTAGGGAGGTGGGAATTGGGCTTTTCTCCCAAGTTAGTAATGACAGGACCAGAGGAAATGGCCTCAGGTTGTGCCAGGGGAGATTTAGATTGAATATTAGGAAGAGTTTCTTTACTGAAAGAGTGGTCAGGCACTGGAACAGCTGCCCAGGGAGGTAGGTGGTGGAGTCATCATCCCTAGAAGGATTAAAAAAAACATGGAGATGTGGCACTTCAGGGCATGTTCTCATGGGCATAGTGGGTTTTTTGTGGGTTGTGTGATGGTGTTGGTTTTGTAGGGTGTGTGGTTATGGTTTTGGGGGGAGAGGCGGTTTGTGGTGTTTTTATTTCCCTCCTCCTGGGTTGACTGTTGGACTTGGTGATCTTAGAGGTGTTTTCCAACTGTGACAAATCTGTGGTTCTGTGAACTTTGCAAAGCTGGGGATGAACCTGAGGTCAAATCAGGCAGCAGTGGCTCAGTGAAGCTTATTGGTGACTCATCAGGTAGTAAGAACACTCCTGGAGAAAGACCTCCATTTACCAAGCCTCATGACATGGAATTGCTGTGAAGCAGGTTTGCTCTTCACTGTTCCAGAGCTCCCAGCTTCTGAAAAACATGGTGCATCTTTTTGGAAGAGCTTGCTGCTGTATGGATGGCAAATCCTGTATTGCTTGTAGGAGGGCGTTGAGTCCTCCTTGGTTTAAAATGTGCGGCCTCAGTAATTTAGCCTTTAGACCTGTAACCTCATGTGACTTGCTGGTGTCAGTGGACACTTTTTTTCGCTAAAAACCCTTGAGAATAAGGAGTTCAACTAATTTTTTTTACATTTTATTTTATTCCCCTCTCCCTTCCTTACATAACATCTTGTCAGTTACGTGTCTGCCTGTGTAAATTGCTACTCCCTAGTTAAGCAGAGGGAGAGCTGCTCTGGGGTGTGACACCCTGACAGCTCTGATGTGGCTTCACCTCTGGGCAGACTCCAAGGCTCTACCTTCAAAGGTATAAGGGGACTAAATAAAATAGGGTTCTCTAGGAAAACTTAGGATGTTGTATTGTTGCTTGTGGGCTCACCTGTGGGCTACTGATAGCTTTGAGGCTCAAATGCACTGTGAAATTTTGGAGGAGTATTAACTGAGTGACAGATCTTTCTGACCTGCTTTCCAGATTGCTGCGTTTCACGTATGGACCTTCATTTCCTCCATTTAAAATTCCTGATGAAGATGCTGGTCTGATTCCCCCTGAAATGGATAACGAGTGCGTTGCACAAACGTGGTTTCGCTTTTTACATATGCTGAGGTATGGTAACCACAGCCCTCCTTTCTTCACATCCCTGCATCATTTCTATACGCTTGCAATGTATTTGCAATTTGAAACATTTCTCTGGAGATGGCTAATATGAAGCACTAAATAGAATAAAGTGTGAGAGACTCCTCGTACCAGTGCCCGTGCAGCAGGCCAGGGCAAGGCTGTGAGTGGGTTGGTCAGCTGGGAACTCTGACTCTGTCCGAATGTAAGTTGGTTCATTCAATGACCAAGTTTTTAGCTATTTGGCATTTTGGAGAATCTGAAAAACAAGACTTCAGTACAATTTTGTTTCTCTGGGATAGCAAACAGGAAAAGCAGAACAATAGTTCCAAGATATGTGTACTGCTTCCATTTATTCTCCAGAGTCTTAAATTTAACCTACAAAAGATTATTTTTAAAATGGGTGTATCTCTTTGTTTCTGTGAAGAAAGCTATACAGTTAATTTTAACATCCATGTTGCTCTTCCTAAAATACACAACAGAACCAAGTGGCATGCTTGGTTTTAAGGATTCTTGAGAATGGCATGGCACTGATGTTCTGAACAGCCAGCATAACAACCTTTTTATAAACATTGTGTACTAATTAAAGCTATGTAAAAGTTACACTGTTCAAAATCTACCTCATAACTCACTTTAAAAGAATCTCTTATTTTTCTTCATTTGTGATAGTCATGTCACTTGTACTGTTCAAATCTTGGAATTGCTGTTGGAGGCTTTGTATGAGTCAGGAAAAATTCCTCCAAGTCTTATAACCCACTCCTAATTCACTGCTTACCTTTTGAGAATAATTGTAATAGGAACCTCTTAAACTGAGTTCAAAAGAGCTCCTAAGTAATTAGTCTTACTGCAGCAGTGGGATTATTCTATCAAGTGTATGTTTTGGTTCATTGTGTCTTAATAAAATTATTCAATATGTTTGGGTAGTGTTTGAAATTAAGACAACCAGGAAAGGAAAAACTACTTCCTATGTTAAGTATCAGCCAGAAATACATGGATATTGGGTGCTGTTTTGTGTTGTTGTTATTGAAATGCCTTAAATTATTTCATCTTTGGGTATTTTAAAACTCCAAACAGTTGTTCTTAAACTGACTAAAATCTATTTTGCTCTTTGTGTGCAGTAATCCTGTGGATTTGAGTAACCCAGCCATTATTAGCTCTACCCCCAAATTTCAGGAGCAGTTTCTGAATGTGAGTGGGATGACTCAAGAACTGAATCAATACCCCTGCCTTAAACATCTGCCTCAAATATTCTTTCGTGCCATGCGTGGGATCAGCTGTTTAGTGGATGCATTCCTAGGTAATGCTTTTGTCTTACCTGTGAATAGCTAGGAATAGTAACTTAATTGTTGTTTTATTCTCTTTAAATCTGTCCTCTACATAAAATATAGGCAGAGCAACTTACCATTTGCAAGTATATCCTGGCATGGATAAGAAAGGAGACCTCAGGTTACTTTTAAGTGACCATCTGTGTACAAAATACTGATACTCAAATGTAGATGGCCTTAGTTCGAAATGCAAAACAAATAAATCTGAAGTCTAAAATAAACCTAGCCATCTCTTCCCCAAACAAGGCTTCTTTCTCTTTTTGTGTAACCAACAATGCAGATGTTAGAGCACTGGCCACTTTGTTTATAAACATGGTGGCATGAGCTGTGTGCAGTGCCTGGTTCTATAAGGTAGTGAGTTTTAACTCATCCTCAGATCTTCATATTCCAAGTGCCAGTTTCACTTAGTGTACAGTTCATGCATGACTAGTACAGCTGAGAAGATAAGCTGGGTGCTTTGTGTCTGCTGGTAAATGAGTAGCTCAGAGTTGACTGAAAGGTAACACAGATGTGAGCACTGGCTGTAAGCTTTAAGTTACACTGTCTAGCACCTGAAATCCAAGGCATTACTCCTAGTATGCTTCAGACTTCCTAGAAATTCTTCAGAGATAACCTGCTGTTGTAAACCCTGAAGAGCTGTCTGTCTCCTACTGCTTTTTTACTGAAATGTGTGCAAACAAATGTTGTCATCTGCCAGAAGTGTGAGCTGATGTGAGGCTGCAGGAGACTTGAACAGATACATAGACTGTGTTCAGGAAAGAAATTGGCTGTGGAATCCGTCAGCTTTTGCATCGTGTTTGTCTCTTGGAAAAAACTCAGTGGGTCAGTCCTTTTAAGCAAAGCACCTCAAGATACTCCTGATACACTGAATTAGAAGACTATTTTTGCCAGAAATACATTCTGTGTTTCTGTACAAATATGACAAGGAAAAGGTTTATGGATACTAAATTCCTTAAGGTTTTGTCACTATGGAATTTGCTTTTGTAGAAATAGCTTTTCTTAAAAAATTAAGTTATATAAAAGAGCAAATGGTAATTTTTCATAAACTTAATAGTGAATCATGAAACCTGCTGTGTCCACTGTGTTCTTCCATATGTCTTGCCACCTATCTTAAGGAATTTTAATTATGGCTTTTTACTAATACCAGATGAGAGATTTTAAATACTCAATAGTCAAGTAATATAATGATTTGTCAAAGGAAGATTATATATAAGCAATATATGGTCCAACCTTAAGGAAACAACCTCGTTATTCTGTCAAACTCTTATCTTCCTACCTTTGAGAGCAGAGTTTGACAGTCTACACTGAAACAGTAAAAAATGTCCAAGTAAAAAAAAAATCTACCAGAATTGGTAGAAAATGTTCCTCTGAGGTGCCTTCTACTGGCTGTATAACCTAAATTAAAATTCTTTTGAAAAAGCTATTAAATATAGTATGTATTGAGGAGAAAAACTCTATATCCAATGTTTTTGTGAAAGTGTGGTTAGTAAATAATTTTCAGAGAATAAAATAGTTTGTCATGTAAGACTCACAAAGGAGGGACCTTGCAGTGGAGACAGAAGCTGAGCAGCTGTTGGCTTTGCCCAGTGCCTGCCCCTCTGCTGGAAGAGCTGTGGTAGTGAATTGCTCTTGGGCCTTAAAATAATCTTGAGTTCTTATCTGAGCCTTTTAACCCACTAATGGTGTGACAGTCCTCTTGGTGGTCCATGTCTGGCTGTCTGAGGCTCCATTCCCACTGGGGTGACAAGGATCACATACACAATTCCTTGTCTGGATGTGCAGGAGTTGGCATCTGGGGTGAGGTCTTCCACACTGGTCAGTTGTGGAGAGCTTCTGTGGCAGCCCCAGCTCTCCTGTAAGCATGGAAGGAGCTTTGCTGTCTGCATGAGCTGTTCATATGATGTTGGTATGATGGAGACTTAAGACATCTGAAGATTTTGTGTAGCAAGTTGAAACATCCAGAGTGATGGGACCACAGTTAGAGTTCAGAGCCAGAGACTACAGACTGTGATGCACTCAGGCACAGGACAACTCTTGGTGAAAATAAATTGAAGCTGCAGGTGGGGATGTAAGACTGTGCTCAGACAGACTCTAGAGCTGAATAGCATGGTTTGGGTTGGAAGTGACCTTAAAGATTATCAGGATCCAACCCCCTTCATGGGCCTACCTCCTACCAGACTAGGTTGCTCCAGGCCCCATCCAACCTGCCCTTCAACACCTCCAGGGATGGGGCAGCCACAGCTTCCCTGGGCAACCTGGGCCAGTGTCTCACCAGCTTCACACTCAAGAATTTCCTCCTAATGTCTAACCTAAATCTCCCCTCTTCCAGTTTTGATGCATTACCCTTTGTCCTCTCACTACAAGCCCTTGTCCAAAGTCCCTCCCCAGCTTTCCTGCAGCCCCCACCTTGCCCTCACTAATTGGACAGCTATTTATACAGTCTCCCTAGGTTCTTGAATGTTGGGGAATGGTTTGAAATAGTGTTTCCTGTTCTCCCAAATGTCTGTAACACTGTCTGGCAAAAAATCATTCAGGTTGGAAAATACCTCTAAGATCATCAAGTCCAACAGTCAACCCAACACCACCATGCCCACTAATATCCCTTCTGATTCTGACTGGGAAGAGTAGCTTTATACACCATGAATGTTTCCCTGAAGCTGGGTAGAGACTGATCTAATGTCCTGCTGCTGCCAGAAAAATTATAGCTTGCTCTGCTTCCTTATCCCATCTCTTGTTCTGACTTAGTATTTGTTCAGCAAGCTGATTCAGCTCACAAATCCAGCAGAAAACTGCATGGGGGATGAGTTTAATCTTTATTTAGTGATTCAAAGTGGCTTTGAAGGGTCAGGTGCTTTAGAGCTGTCTCAGGACATGGGAGGGATGGTTGGGAACGGCAAAGGTGAGAGGCACCTGACTTTTGGCAGGAATGAGCTGTTACACTGGCTTTGGCAAATGAACCTTGCCCCTTTCCCCTGCCTCCTTCTACAGTTGGTCCTCCCACGTGCCATTTCCCACCTTCTTCAGGTGGAGGGTTCTTTGGTGGTTTTTAGCTACTTGCTTATCTAATGCAAGCAGAGTTTTCTTTTGTTTGTATCTTAATCTCTGCTAATAGTAAAAGAGGAAGGGTGTTTTTTCTGACCGCTGCTGTTGCAGGGAGCAGGTAGGACAGCCAGTCTGTTTACAGAAGGCCCAGATGCTTTCTGGCTGGGCTGCTGTGGAGGAGCCAAAGGATCTCTTGCTGAAAGTTTGCTTTATTTCCTGGTCTACAGGCATTTCCCGACCCCGGTCAGACAGCGCCCCCCCCACGCCAGTGAACAGGCTGAGCATGCCCCAGAGCACTGCCACCAACACCACTCCGCCCCACAACCGCAGGCATCGGGCTGTGACTGTGAACAAAGCAACGATGAAAACCAGCACTGTGAGATTTCATCTTCTGTGTTTAAGTAGCTGACCCTTTTGATCATTTCCCCAATCAGAGGAAGTAATTTCCTTGCTTCTAGGAGCTGACATGTTGTTCTGTTCAAACAGGTAACTACTGCACACACTTCAAAAGTGCAGCACCAACCCTCCTCCACTTCTCCACTCTCTAGCCCAAACCAGACCAGTTCTGAGCCACGGCCACTACCAGCTCCTCGCAGGCCAAAGGTTAACAGCATCCTGAACCTCTTTGGATCCTGGTTGTTTGATGCAGCATTTGTTCACTGTAAACTTCATAACGGGATAAACAGAGACAGCAGCATGACTGGTAAATATTACTGAACAATATATATGTATATTCCTTTTCCTTGGTTTATTGACATTTCCTACCTGCAAGATTAACATATGCATAACAAAAAAATGATTTTGAAGTGCTGTGTTGTGGTTAACCCCTCCCAGCTGAGCTAGCACCTGTTATTAGCCAAGCAGGTGTTCAGAGGCTTTAAAATTTAAAAAAAAACACCCTTTTTACTACTAAACACTCCCTTGCTCTAACAAGCATGCCAGTCCCAATTATGCTAGTGGAAATTTTATTAAATGAAGGAGATAATGTGATAAAAGATTCTACTTCTTAATTTGAAATCTGCAGGAGTATCTCTCTGAGTGAGTAATAGCAACTTTTTATAGTGACTCTTAAGCATTTGAAAAGTTGTCAGAAATCACTCCACATGGTGCACAAGGTGGTTCTTAGCTTTGTTTTCAGAGAGTGTTATGAAAACAGAAGTCCTTAAAATAGAAAGTGGAGTTGCTGCCTCTCAGGGATGGTTGCTACATGTTTCCATGTATGGTTTGATACTTTGGTTTTCTTCAGTCCTTAACTGGTAGATTTATTTTGCCTGCTATGCTTTGCTCAGCTTTGGAGGTTGGATGTTTAGAGACATGACAGCAGCATCAGTGCTCTGCTCAGACACACTTTTTAGTGCTCTTCTTCCTTTTGGTGATAATATTCAGAAAAGAATAAACTTGCTCTCTCCTTGCATTTTTCCTGTTCTTCATGTAGTATTTTGAAAGTCTGCTCAGCTCTTCCAAGAGATCTATGCATCAGGAGTTCACTGGCCAAAGTATGAGAAACAAGAGGAAGAGGTTTTTCATAGCAAGTGGGATTTATAGCAAGACTTGACAGCAGCAAATCTTGTATGTTGTGTTAGAAATACCTGTGTGCATGCAGTGGGTTTAGGGTTTTGGATCTGTTAAAGGTGGGTTCAGGTATGCAGCACTTGGTTTTTGAAAGTGTTTGTTGGTAGATTTCTGTGGTAGCAGGTTCCCTCTGTGAAAGGCCTATGACACATTGCTAGGGAAATAGCTGGGCTGAGGAAGGCATAATTTGAGGGTCTGTTCAGCTGCATAGGCAGTTCATGTATTTCTGTATTTAATGCTTTTTGGATCAATTGGATCCTTTTGCTTTTGACATAACCTGTATCTTCAGCAATTTTGGTGTAGTGCTTGACCCGAAGAAGGTGTCAGCTGAGGTGCTGCTTCTTTAAGTGTCAGCTGTAAACAGAGGTGTTGTGATTCTAGCAGAAGTACACACTCATCCAAAATTAAAATGATTTACTTCCTTGAAAGGGTTCCAGGGCCTTCTATTCATGTATGTAATGTCTGAAGTCACCTAATAGCAGTCAGAAAATTGCTGTATCACTTGTCTTGCAGAGGGATTTAGTGCCTTCCTGAAAACTGGAAGCAACTGTTTGGAAAGCACTTGGTTTTGTTCCTCCTCCATGCTCTTCTATAGTGCAGTCTTGGAATGTCACAGGTTCTGCCATTCACGGGCAACTGTGGGTCAGAGAGAACTACATTAGTGAAAACTCAGGAAGCTGGCTGTGCTGTGTCCTGCTTTTCTAGCAGTTTGGAAGGCAGAATTAACTTATGGAATTCAGCCAAGTGCTGCCCTTCCAGGGTGCCGTGGCTGGTGCTACCACTGCGTGAAGTACTGGCCACAGTGGCCAGGCTGTCAGATGAGAGCAAGCTGAAGGTGGATCCAAACTGCTGAAATTTTGTAGACAGGCACTGAAGTCAGATTGTCTGATTTATCCTTCTGGATAAATCATTTTGCTCAGCCTTTGCATTAGGGGGGAGAATGTAGCAAGACTTGCAGAGGGCTGGTCTCCTGCAGTTCCTGTTGGAATGAAGCATCAGTGTCTTTTAAATCAGGTTTAAGTCCAAACTGAAAAGCTTCTGTTCTAGGGAGTCTCATCTGTGAAGCCTCCCGGTGAAGTCTCTTCCTCCTTGAACAGTGTGAGGCAGGGCTGATGAAGGGGCCCAGGAAGGTTGTACAATGTGCTCTCCCTCCATCACACAAGAAGGGCCTATCATTTACATGTTGTGCTTTTCCACCTGGCTCTGCTTATGCTACCCAAGAGGGCAGCAGGGAAGGGACAGTTAGTTACCACAGTCCCTACCCTTGGGAAAGAGGACAGAAGATTTCCCTTTGGCTGCAGGTTGGCTGTAGGTACGTAATGGTCCATCTGCTACACCCCGTAGCCTGGTACAGTAACACTTCTTACATTAACTTGAATATTCTTGCCATGTTTGGCACTGCTGTTGATAACCTTTGCATCAGCTTCAGGAAGCACTATTGTTTTTATGGATGCTTTAAATATTTTATGATTGGGAAGTGTCTGCACTTAAAATCAGCTTTGCTGTGGAGCATTGTCTTCCACTGGCCCACAGGGCACTGTTTTTCTGTTGTATCTGGCACTGCAGCTGTGTAAGATCTCAACAGCTTTTAACCCTTCTAATGGTCAGGTTTTTTCAATGCCATGCAGTTAAGAATTCCTTCTCTCATAGCTCTTTGATACAATTTCTCTGCTTCATTGCTGGTTAGCCTGAGGATCATTTCAAAAAAGAAAGAGGTGAAATATCTTGATAAAGGTTGCTCCTTGGTCCTGCAGAGAGATCCCCTGCCCAGGGACCCATTTCTGGAACACTGTTATTTCTAGTGCATGTTTCTTATTTCTCTTCTGTCGTGTTCTCAATGAGAAGATGCAAGACTTGATTTCTGAAGATATAGTCACAAGCTAGCTACCTATCTGCCTTTGCTTTTCTCCTTGTCCTGGAGGCTCACATGTCTGTCTTCTTGAACTCTTCAACCTCCAGAAAGGGAGTCAAGAAAACTGTGCAGCTTTTTGTATTTCTGAGCTGAAAAAATACCTGAATGGGTGGAAGGGTAACTGAACTTGTTCTACTTGACTCTGCTTTGGAAGACACTGACTGTATCATCTCCAGAGCTCCCTTCCAGCCTCATCTCTTCTCAGGTTCTGTCAGTATAACTGCTGCCCCACTGCTGTTCAGTTTTCTGTCACCTTCACATGTAAACATCTTGAACCAACCCTTGCACAATTCACGATAGTTGAACTTATTTCATGCTTGTGGTTCTTTTGTTTTGTTGGTCTCTTTTTGCAAGAGAGAATTGTTCTCTCCCACAAGATTAGCAGGAGGTCATCTGTATACAGCTGAGTACTGATGGAGTTTTTCTCCTGGAAAGCAGTCTTCCTGTTTGCTCTTTGAGCCCTGTCTTTCAAGATAGTCTTGTGCTGGTGTTTGGATTCTGAAGCAGAACTATAATCTTACCATTGTTGGTGTGATGCTTTTGTGCCGCATGTGTCCTGTGTCAGGTTTTAGTTTCTGCACCAAGACCTTGACGGTGAAGAACAGCAGGCAGCTAATGCACATGACTATTGTGGTGAGAGAGGAAAGAAGATCTGTTTGAAAATGCATAGCTGGTTTGAAAGGAGCTGGATCCTGCTGGTGTAGTCTTTACAATTAGGTGGCTGCATGGAATCTATTTGTTAGTGTGGCCTAAAGAGCTCCTTCTGATTGGTACATGAGAACCCCTTCATAAGAAATTTGCTATGAAGCCTTTTTGAAGGTAACCCTGAACATGACAGCTGTGGAGTGTGTGCATAAGTTGAGGTGATTTCCCTGGCAGGATGTGTTCCAGTTAGACAAACTCGGCTGTAGGGCTCATGCTGCTACTCACTTGAGCAACTTGTGAGAATTGGGAGAGGCTCAGGAGTACCTTGTGTGAGCATTTCAGCAACTGAGTCTTCCAATGGCCTCGTTGATGGGCTCCTTCTTTATTCTGTACACCTAACTCAGTCAGTCACAAGCCTTGCCAGGTCTGTGCTTCAAAGCAGCTACATGAGTCTTGCTCAGAAGGTTTGCTGTGAGCACCCAGGTGCTGTTGGCAGTGGGGGAGCCTTGCTGTATAGTGTTACCCTCCTCTCTTCTGACACTACTCTCATTAATATTAATGTCCCAAATAATGTTTCTGGGGGTCTAGAGGAAACTGTAAGAAGCCTTGATTTACGAACATCTTGAATGTTGCTGAGAGGCTTGGTCACAGGCCTGGATCTGACCCTGCATGCTCAGAGAAGCCGCTCTGATGAGGTGGTGACATTCTGTCCTGGCACATGTCTACTGGGGTCTTGCCTCTCTCCTTTCTCTGGAGATTGTTTTTGGGATGTTGATGTTTCTGGCGGTGTTCTGCCTTTTACTGCTGCTTTGGGAGATGGTTGGTCTGGTGGTCAGAGGAGGCATGTCTGGCTGCTGTTAGGTGCTGCTAGCAACTTGAGTGAGGGAAGAAGGGGCTGTAACTTGGCCAGGACCAAACTCATGGTTTGGAAACAGAAGTCTTGCTGTGGCTCTCAGGTGAGTAACCTTCCCTGTGAGGGAGAGGCTGAGTCACAGGAGCCTTAGGGCAGCCTGAGTCATACACCATCCCCTGTGCAACCCAGGGAAATGGTCTTGAGCTGGGAAGGGTTAATGAGTCTGGTAAAGAACTGATGTACATTGATATGAACAGCTCTAAATCTTACTAGTATTTTGTAACTTTTTGTTCATTGTTTTGCATGGTATTTTCAAAACCATAATTTTGGACCTGAATGCCAATTTCCTGTGTGTTTAACAAGCTTGCTGTATCTATCATAAAGCTTTTAATCTATTTTTTAAAAAGCTAAAAGCTGCTTAACTTATATTACAATTTCACCATCTTAAAAGTATTTTATAACTACTGCTGTCCTTTGATTTGTTTCCATTTTATTTCTATTATCTTGCAGCATCTTTTATCCAAATTCTTCTTTCTTATAAATCTTGTAAGTAGGAACCAGTAGCTTTTCCTTAATTGCGGTCATGCTTTTCTTTTTCCATAATCCCATGTTTTATTTGTAAATTCATTCTCATTGTCTCTTGTAGCTTTTGCACTTTTACTTGAAAAAAGACAATTATTTTGTGTGTGGTTTTGAATGGGGAGGATTGCTGGCAAAAGCAAATTAATCTGCCTGAATCAGTCCCATCTTTTCTGTACTTTAGTCTGTGGTCATGTCATGAGTTTCAGGACTTTGCACTAACCATGTTTTTTTTACTTAAAGCTTATTTTACAGACCCAGTGTTTGATTTGTATGCATTGTGCATGTAGTGTTTTTTTCCAACTACAATATATTGCTGGATAGCTTATTTAGGATGAAAAACGGCTCATGGGAAGATGCATAAAGATTTGTGCTTATTTGCTACTTATAACAATTTGTACGGTAACAGTAGCTTAAACCCCAAATTTAAAGACAAAAAATTAAGACTAGACACTTGTAACTAGAATGTTTCATTAAAAAAAAATAATAAAACAACATCCCCCATCTGTAAATTAGTAAGTTTTCCAGGTGTCAAAATGGTAACAGGCCTTTGTTGGCAAGAGTGACTGTGAACCTGGTGTTCCCCAGTGTTCCAGGCTGGAGATAGAGGAGGATCTGGTGGAACTTCATTGGGCTGATTCTGTGAGGAGCATGTTATCTACTCTTTGGTTTTGTGGCTTATACAAGTTTTGAAAATCGATATAGTCCTTCACTAAAAATAAGAAGGAACATGCAGGCTGATTCTGTGAGGAGCACATGTTATCTGCTCTTTGGTTTTGTGGCTTATACAGGTTTTGAAAATTGATGTAGTCCTTCACTAAAAATAAGAAGGAACATGCTCTTTCTGCCACTAGGAATCCAAGAGTGCAGTTGCTTAGGGAAAAAAAATGAAAAAATAAATCACATTGAGCGCAAGATTCCTTTTTGGAAGCCAGGAAAGCGAGCAGCCTCCTGCACTGTGTGCATGTGGTACTGATAGGTGGAAGGAGACCAGATATCTCTCTAGAAATACATGAATTCAGCTAGTTTGGAGGGGCAGGGCCATCCTGCTGGGAGGGAGCATGAAGCTTAGCACAACCATATCCCATATAGGGAACAGCAGGGCTCCTGGGAGACTTCCATGAAGCATGTTGTGGAATCAGGAGTAGGAGAGGACCAGCCTTCCTGCTGCCTGCTGTTGGGGACTGTCTAACCTCAAATTTGGTGATTTCAGTAGCCATGTGAGGAGAGAGGGACCAGATCAGCATAGTGGGTTTCAGCATTTTTTTCTTTCTGATATGGTTCCTTTCTACTTTTGAAATTATTTTTTTAATAAGTAAATTTATACAACAAAATGGGATCAAAGCAGCTTTGTTTTCAGAGCAGCAGAAGAGATGAGTTGGCAGGCTGAAAATCATGGACTTGTTTGGAGGTCACAGTAGTGGCACCATCTAAATGTGTTTTTGCATTTTAAGGCAGCAAGGCAAGATGGTGCTTCATTTTTCTGAAGATGAGAACTAGGTGAGGGAAGATCCTTGTCCTCCAGAGGGGGTAGGAAGCTAATGCTGGCTAGAAGTGTACTCCTCCCAGCAGAAAGTTGGGACAGGCTCTAGACTGTAAAGGTCATTTGTTGTCATCCTTATAAAGACCAAAAAAAAGCTACACCCACAAATACTTTCTAAACAGAGGCACTAACTCAAATGCAGTGAACTAACAGCTTCAACTACTAAATTGGACTTGATCTTTGTGTCCAGGATCCCATGAGCCTATTGCAGATGCTGACAGAGGCAGTGAAATGGTGTTTTTTCTCTTCCCAGCTATAGCAACTCAAGCTAGCGTGGAGTTCCGCCGGAAAGGATCCCAAATGTCCACAGACACAATGGCTTCCAACCCCATGTTTGATGCCAGCGAATTCCCAGACAACTATGAAGCAGGAAGGGCAGAGGCATGCGGGACACTGTGTAGGATATTTTGTAGCAAGAAGACTGGGGAGGAAATATTACCAGCTTACCTATCCCGGTACTAACCTATCTTCCAGTTGCTTTCTTGGTGTAACTTCATGGTGCAAATTAATTCCCAATTAATACCGTTCAGTTACTGTCTGAATTCTGTGTTGCCAGTTCAAAAAACCTGGTTAGCCTGCAGGTGCTGTAGGCAGGGATTGCTTGCTAAGCTGAACGGCGAATTCTTTCATCTTCTCATCATGCTGGTTTTCATTGGGTTTTCTTCAAGTTCTAGCTGCAGGGAAGTCCCTTAAGGTGTCTCCCAGCTGGAAGGAATGTTGTCTTTTTTATATTTTCTTGCCTCTCATATTCTTGGTTTTTTTTTGTCTGAATCTGAATATTGTTCAGATGGAAAAAAATAAGTGTGCAGACTTAAGACTTTGTACACTTTATTAATCTGTTAAGGGTCTTGTGTTGCGAAACAGAACAGTGGGATGGAATGTGTTTGTGGGTTGTTTAGGTTTTTTTCTTTGAGTATAGAAATGCACCAATATTCCATTATTTATACCAGTTGTGTTCTGAACTACCTAGATCGATAGTTTTGTTTCTAATAAGATAAGGCAGTGTTGCCTATCATATGGTCCTTTATTCCTAAATTTTTATTAAGTGCAATGGCAAAAGCCAGAGGCAGAGAATCCGCTGAAACTGTTCAGGTACATTTGGCCCAGATGGCATAAACACTTCTTGGAAGACTGAACTATTTAATTCTTGCATGTTGCAGTGTGTTGTGTATAGATAGTTCTTGTTGCTCTTACCCAGTCAGTGAGGTTGCTCTCTGTTTGCAAGCATTTTAAAAAGGAAAATAAAGGGGATACAGTGTTTCTAACAAGGAACTGCAAAAGAAACAAACTGCTCTGTAGAATGATGGCCAGCTGGGTTCCTGCCCCCCTGCTTTTCATTTGAACTGGTGTTGCTGGATGTTTCTTGTTCTCCAACTTGCTGATCAGTGTATCCTGTCCTGTTCCCCCCAAAAGATTTCACAGTAGTTGTCTTGTGTTGAGCAGTTAAAATTAAGGTCTCACTCCCATCTTACATGGGGAAGTGTTTCTTAGGTCTGGTGTTAAAACTTAATTTTATGTAGAAAATATCAAATAATGGCTGCACATTCATGTTCATGTGGGATGCTGATGCTTTTTTGTTTGTGCAAATAATTTAATCTTATCTTTCTTTGTCAGATTTTACATGCTTTTAATTCAGGGTTTGCAGATAGCAGATTTCGTTTGCCACCCAGTTCTTGCCAGTGTTATTCTCAACTCCCCTCCTTTGTTCTGCTGTGACCTGAAAGGGATTGATGTTGTGGTTCCTTATTTCATTTCGGCTCTTGAAACTATTTTACCTGACAGGTAAATTGCTGTTTCCATGTAAATATAATCAGAAATATGGGGAAGTGTTTATTTTCTAGGGTTTTTGTTATTCCTGAGTCGTTTTCACTGATAGAATTCTGTAATGTGAGCCCCATACTATGCAAGTATTTGATAGTCATGATAGCAGTACTTCATAAACTCTAATGTTTAATTTTATTTAATGCCATTTTCTTTAAAGCAATAGTTGTGCTTATTTTAAATGAAATACGTGAGTTGTGTTATCTACGTATTCACTGATGGAATGCAGTACCTGTACAGGGAGAAGGAGTGATTTGGCTGAAATATATTGAAAGCCTACTGATTTTTAAGTAAAATTTCACAGGATATTAATCAGGGGCTGTTACTGCAGTAGATTCATTGAGAGTAATCTTACACAGCATTATACAGAAAAATGGATGATTTAGACGGACTGGTGAAATTGGAGTTGGTTCTGAAACAGAAAATACAACCTGACTTGTCAGAGCTTTATTGATTTGTGGATGTTTTGCAAAGTAATACTGCTCTGTGCATGCCTTCTTCACCATATGTTTTATGTACTGCATTTTGTTTTGAAGTTCTGCAGAAAATATTATTTCTTTTCTGGGCTTAAGTCTGAGCCCCTCCTTCTTTTGGTTAAGGTGTAGCAGTAGAAATAGCTTGTGTTTGATGCAATGTGCAAGAGCATGTCCTGCAGGGCTCTGATAACCCTGGGTGGGTTGGAGTTTTAGTAAGACAGTAGAGGCTTGTGACAAAAACTTCCTGCTCTAAAGATGCAGTATGGGAATAATACTTTAATCTGCTCATTGCTTTTTGTATGGGGTAGAGAATCCTTAGCAAGGGATGGTTTCTGCATGAATTCACTGTGTTATTGCTGCTGTTTAAAAAAAAATTAATAAGAAACCTGAGCTTGGGAAGAAGCAGCTACGTTCTACTGCAGATTATTGAAGACCACTGGGTGGCTGGATATGTAATTGTAACTTAATTCAATTTTGCTTCCAATTCCTGTGGAAAGATGATTAACTGTATGATTCTTTGATTTGCAGAGAACTCTCAAAGTTTAAAATCTATGTAAACCCCACAGAACTAAGAAGAGCTTCAATTAACATCTTGCTGTCTCTGTTGCCCCTCCCTCATCACTTTGGAACTGTGAAGTCTGAGGTAGTTAACGTCCCACTTTGTTTTGCGTTTCATTTTTGTTTTCATGTTTATTTCAGAGTGGGATTGGGATGATTTGTGTGGGTTTTTTTGTGTTCTATTTAGCACTGAAACTCTTCCAGCAAGTGTTTAGCAGTGAGACTATATTAAAAGTTGTCAGTAGCAATGTGTGCTGTACATACTGACTTGTGAAGCCAACACCACCCTGTTGTGATCTCTAATTGATACTGAAATGAATGTATTTTTTCTTCAGGTTGTCCTGGAAGGCAAATTCAGCAATGATGACAGCTCAACATATGATAAGCCAGTAACCTTCCTCTCCTTGAAACTGCGGCTTGTGAATATCCTTATAGGAGCTTTGCAAACGGAAACAGATCCCAACAACACCCAAATGATACTAGGTTATTTCAACTTTTTAATTTATTAACTGCTCCAGAAGTGTCTGTCTTAATCTGTCCTGGAAAAATATGGTTTATTAGTCGTGTAATCTATATGATCTCCCTTGTACAATGAGAACATCTTGAAAAGCCTCACATTTTTGTTAACATAATCTCTTTTTTCACAAATGTGGAATAGTACTTGAAAAATAGAGGTGGAAGTAAAACATTCTAACTGAAAAAAGTCAGTCATAACTAGGAATAAAAACAGGAAAAAACATTGTTTTAGTACTAGGAAGGATTCTTGACTAATAGGTTACAGGGAACACTTCAGGTTTTGGCACAATTAACCCTAGAAACAAATTGAAACACTGGGTGAGCAGTGGTCCAGCACTGGCAGAGTACAGATGCCACTGGTTTAGCACTGTGTAAATCCTCAGACTAAAGCTTTGAAATAGAGTTTGGAGATGCCTGGTTGTTTGGCAACGAACTGTCCTTTGAGGTTGTGGGTGTATTGACATTATTCTGCATACTCAGACAGTAGAAACTGAAACTTGGATAGTGAATAATCTGTCAAGCTAAATAAATTTTCACACCAGTAAAAAAGAAAATGTTCTTGCCTTTCATACTCCCCCTAACCCCTCTTGTTTTTTTCTCTTTATTTAGAAGTGCCTTTTTCCACATTATGCTTTTGTCCTTCAGTAATTACAATACCCCTTTCCTTTTCCGTGTCTAAAAAGGAAACAGACTTATACTGTGGTGGGAGGTGTCTGCCTTGTTTGGGAAGACAGAGCCTGTCTGACTAATAGGGCAGGGAAGGGAACTGGCATGAGCAGCCAAGGGAAGGGAAATTTACTTGCTGTGGTTAAGATAGTTCCTTTACTAGTGGAAGACTAGGAGAAAATTATTTGAAAGAATAATTTGCAGCTGCTGCTGGTGAAGGGATGAGGGTATTGAATCCTCCCAGTGAGTCCCACAGAGCAACCAGTGCATGGGGGCCTGCACAGCTGGGGAACCATGGGGTGATGCTCTGCTAGATCCTGCCTCTGTGTCCTGTACACCTCTGCTGAGGTCTGGTGTTGGCATCCAGCTGCATAGATGCTCTGCCTCAGATGGTTTTTACCATCACTATTTCCATGATAATTCATACCAGTCCATCTCACCTGTATCTCCTGTTAATCCCCTGTTTTTGTATGTGAAGTTATTTCCTGCTGGTTTTGGTTGGGACAGATTATGAACCTCCATTTCTGCATTTCATATGGCAAGTGTTGTTTTCCTAAGCACTTGTTGCTGGGAGGGCAGAAAACTAGAATTGATGCTGCCAAGTGTGTCAGTGTCAGCCTGTTACAGGTCTGACCTTACTGGTGCTGTCCTTGTATGGGGATGGTGCTGCCAAGCAGATCCGGGCTGTTCATGCTAGCTGACCTAAGGCACCCTGAGTGCATCTGCAGTTTTAATTTAACAGTGTCACATTTGCATGTAGTTACTTCTCCTGAGATGGAAGAGATAATTACCTGCTGGCTAGTTTGGGTGCACTGGCGTTGGCTACCTCTGTGCTTAGAGCTTCAGCCTTTCAATACAGAATTTTGGGGACTGATGGAAGATAAAGCACAGAAAGTGAGAGACTGGAGATTATTTCCAGATGGACAGAATGTCAGTGTATCCCACCTCAGACTGTGCCTCCTCATTTAGGAAGTTTGGTTTATATTTTAGCCAAATTAGAGTTAGAGCAATTTTTAATTTGCTCTACAAACCCATAAATTATCAATGATGTAAATATTAGCCTTGATTTTGGTTTTTGTTGTTGGTTTTTTGGTGAGGCAGGGACAGAAATGGCTTTATGAAAACACCACTCACTGTGTCTGGGTGGTTTGGTCATTCACTTCACTGGTCACAGATCAGTACCAGAACAAACATGATCCCTTGTGCTGGTGCCTTAAGCGTTGCTGAATAGACCAGACATTATTCACTTCATCTTCCAGCAGGTTGTTGTCTGTGCTACTACTTGGTGAAGACTTGAAAGCATGTTTGTGTTTGCCTTCACCAGTTGCCTTTTGGTTCCTAATGGCCGGACTGGGGAAGGGAGCCTCTGGGTGCCAGACAAGGATGCAGCCAAGGCCAGCACTGTGTAACCCCCAGGGTGGCTTTCGACTAGGCAGCTCATTTTAGCTCTCTGTTATCTAACAAATACTGTTATTTTATTCACAGAATAAGTAGATATCCTTAAATACAACCTGGGTTTTAAATGAGCACAATCTGATGGGAGACAAGGGACAATTTAAGCCCTTCTGTGGGACTAAAAACCTTCTGAACTGAGGAATTTGAAAACCCCACATTCAAAGCATTTTTTAAATAGCTGAAAGCACCCTATCTCAGCACTCATCTGCTTCAGATGGCCAAGCCTGAAGCAAATCCTTTTATAAAACTATAATGTAGAGTTTTTTTATAAAACCGGATGGTGTTCCTGTGTGTTAGGCCTTCAGTGGTGCTTTGTGAATTTTAGCAGTGAATGTTCTACTGCAATCTTTAGTTACCTTCTTCTATCTGATTCTACAGGTGCAATGTTAAATATTGTTCAGGATTCAGCACTGTTAGAAGCCATTGGCTGTCAGATGGAAACGGTGAGTGTTTTGTGTTTATGAAGTTCCCACCTCAGAATTAGTTACCCATTTTATCTGCTGTTGGAAGGTGCTCAGTTGGCATCTTGAGGGCTGATTGTCTGTTTTGTTTCATTGTATCTGAGAGCATCCTCTGGCATGGGGAGCTCTATTCAAAAAATCGTCATAGAATCACAAACTGATATGAGTTGGAAGGGACCTTAAAGCTCATCTAGATCCAACCCCCCTACATGGGCAGGGACACCTCCCACCAGCCCAGGCTGCTCCAAGCCCCATCCAACCTGCCCTTCAACACTGCCAGGGATGGGGCAGCCACAGCTTCCCTGGGCAACCTCTTCCAGTGTTTCACCACTCTCACAGTGAACAGTTTCCTCCTCATGTCTCACCTAAATCTCCCTCTTCCAGTGTTAATCCATTCCCCCTTATCCTCTCACACCCTACCCTTGTCAAAAGTCAACAGTTGGTTTCTGAGCTGCAGGCACACACTGCCTGCTCATGCTGAACCTCTTGTCAACCATCACTCCCAAGTCCTCCACTTCAGAGTTATTTTCAACCCAATCTCCACCCAACCTGTGTTTGTGTTTGGGATTGCCCTGACCAAGGTGCAGAACCTGCACCTTCTCATCATTTCATTTCAAAATCTTCTCATCGCTCAGAACTGACTTTCAATTTGCAGAATGGTGGTGAAAATAACCTCTTCAAAAGCCACAGTCGAACCAACAGTGGCATTAGCACTGCGAGTGGTGGCAGCACAGAGCCCACAACACCAGACAGTGAGAGACCAGCACAGGCCCTTCTGAGGGATTATGGTAAGGGGAGCTCTTTTGGAAAGAAATGCAGTCATCAAATGTCAGAGTGATGTTTTATATGGTTTGTTTGTGTTCCTAATCCTGGCTAACACATGAATGTGCAGGGGTATTTGGAACCCAGGGTTGGTAGCCCCTTGTTCAGTGCCAGTTTGTGCTCATGTGTGCATTTTAGTTGCTTGGGTTTAGTCCTACTAAGGGACTCTGTGCACTTTTTAAAAGTAAAGAGTGTCAAAGCTTATAGAAAAGGAGGTGTTGGCCAACTGTTGTACTTCAGCATATGTTTTCAAGACATTTAGTTTTCATGGACAATAATGGAAGAAACTTAAGCCAAGTTTAAATTAATTGCTCCATGCATTTTGGTATTAATTTCTATGATTATGAACCTTTCCAAATGCTTGCCAGACTTTTGCAGCACCTTTTCTTAAACTGTATTTAAAGACCATTTGGGGAATTTCTGCTTTTTAGAGCAAGCAAACAGAATGCTTGTGATGTGTCATTTGCTATAACAAGAGAATTTCTCAGTTAACATTAGTTTGCCATGTCTTGTACAAGCATTTTTGAGTCTTTGTAATAAAGTCCATGTTCTACTAAATTTGTGTGTGGTCAAACGTCAAGAGCCTGGAATTTAACTTGCTCCTTTGGAATTCTTCAGTTTAACTGATAATGAGCAAATAAATGTGAGAGCAGATCACCTTTATTATATTGTAGCCTAGGTTGAAAACTCTGTTCTCACCAAGCAAAAATGTTTTTGTTTTTTTTTCTTTAGTTGTATAATTAAGGAGAGAAGGGGAATTAGCAGGAAAGACTTCAGTAATTTTTAGGGATTCATATAAACATGTGTCTCACCAAGCAAAAATGTTTGGGTTTTTTTCTTTAGTTGTATAATTAAGGAGAGAAGGGGGATTAGCAGGAAAGACTTCAGTTTATTTTAGGGATTCATATAAACATGTGCCTTCCCTACAGGGTTTGTTTGAAGTTATTAAAGTCCTAGTTTTCAGCACACCATTTGAATTGTGTGTTTAATTCATATGGGTTTTCATTAACAAGTCCTTGTAAGAATATCCCTTTGTAATGTTAAAAAAATCTTTTAAATGTTTGACTTACTAAATCTTTAAACTGAGATGTAATTCAAATGATATTTTTGCAATATATTAATTTTGGTTTTTTTAAAATTTCCTATGCACAGAAGGGAAAGGTGTATGAAAATTATTGAAAGAATCTGAAGCTGGATGCTTCAAACAAGAGAAAGCTGAAAATAACAACTTGTCTTTTTTATAAATACAAGAATTGAGCTAAGTTAGTTGGAATGTGTGTGTATAATGTCAGGGAGCATCTGTGCAAAAGTGTCTGACCAAATTTCTAGATTCTGAGTTGTGTATAATTTAATTTTCTGTGTGTATTGTGGCTGCTTTGTCTTGTGCTTTGCTTATTGTCACTAATGCTTAGTTATTTTCCCTCCCTGTGGCCTGTGGTACTGGGGTTATATCCTAGCTCTCAATACAGATACAGCTGCTGGGCTGCTCATACGCAGCATTCACCTGGTCACCCAGAGACTCAACTCGCAGTGGAGGCAGGACATGAGTATCTCTCTGGCTGCACTGGAGCTTCTCTCTGGACTGGCAAAGGTGAGAGGTGAAGTTCTTTAGGCTCTGGACTCTTCTCAAAGGGTGGTTACAGTCCTGGTTAGGTGAAAGTCATGCTGCCAAACATCTGCGTCTCTCAACAAATGTTCTGTTTGAACAGGAAAAAAAGCAACACTCCCTTTGTACTTCATTTTCCCCTAGTGTAAATGCTCTGTGGCTCAAACCTTGTGTGCCCTGTAAACGTCCTTGGGTTGAAAGCAAAGCTCTGGGTGACTCCTTCAGGCACACGTGGCTCTGCTGTACCTTTCCGGCTGGGTTTGTTCAGCTCCCTGGTGGCTCCTAACCTTTCTCGTGGATTCCTGTGTGTGTCTGGTTTGGGGTTTTGGTTTGGTTTTTACACAAGGGGATGCATCTGCCATGTTAGGCTGCACAGTTGAGGAAAGACTTTCCACTTAGCTTCCAGTAGCAGCCCAGGAGCTTCGGCCCTTAGTTTTCAACCCCACTGTGAACCATTTCTCACAGCTTCACTTGGTTGGTGGCCAGTCAGTCTGGTCACTGTGGAAGCAGACTTAGAAACAAGAGATTCTGTTACTGTAGTGACAGACTGCAAATAGGCCAGGATATAAATCAACTTAATTGCTTTTTTTTTTTTTTGTAAATATTGTATCTGCTTTTCCCCTTCCCAGCTTAGAAATAGATTTCTGAGCTTAGAAAATGGTAGTGTGTTTCTAATGTGAAGGTGTCACCTTCTTCAGAGCTTTATCTGCACACAGTGCTTTGATTCAACAGCAAATCACTGATCTAAAGCCACTGAGTTTTTTTGCTGAGAAGTGAAATGCCCTTTTCTACTTGATTGCTCTTGTCCCCAGGCTGGATTTCATGACATTTTTTAAGCAATAGTTCAGTGTATGAACAACAGCTGGGATGGCCAGGAGTGACAGTTCAGCATTTCCTGTCGTATTCCCCTGGGATCTTGACACATCCTTGAAATCTGTGTGTCTCAGGCATTTTCAAGAGCATGGAGTCAGCAATGAGCCATATTGGACTGGGTGCTTATTTTGTTACTGCAGCAGCATGAGCTGAAGGATGCCTTTGAAAGTGTTCTGCAATGAATTGATGTGTGGTTATTGGGTCCTATTGGGCATCATGCAGAACCAGGGGCTCCTGCAGCTTCTCTGGCTAAGCCAGTTTTACTTCCTTTTCTTACCTTGCAGTGAGATGGGAATGTGAAAATATATTATCTTTTCAAATGCCTGCTCAGGTTAATATTAAATATTGTAATCTTTGTATAATTCCCATGCAACTGAAGAAATTATTCCTCTGTGATATCATGGATATTTTTCCCCTTCATAACAAAGAGGGTAGAAAGTGATCACCTCCTACTGCAGAGTGGAGAACCAGCTCTGCTTGTGCCTTTGAAAATGACAGTTCCTAAAGCCCTTCCCAGGTTAGAGGCTCTCCTGTCTTGTGTCTGTTCAGCAGCAGGTTATTAGTGGGACTTGGTACATTAAAAAATTCTATTTCCTGCCAGAGTGCTGGCTCACCAACCTGCTTTTCATAGGCTCATTTTGAGGGGACTCTATTTGCTGTAGATCTTGTGCTTCTGAAGGACCTGCTGCCTTAATCTGAGGGTCTGAGTTGTGTCCCCCCCACAACTGCCTGGCTCTGGGGTCACCAGCAAGAATATCTCCTTAATGATTTAAGCTTCATATGGGATTGTCAAATGCTACAGAGTAGAAAAATCTGACTTAAACTGACTGTTCCTGTGCCAAGTCACAGGTTGAGAAGAAAAGAGAAACTGAGTCCTGCAGTTTTATGCTGTAGATCCTCATGCCTCTTCACTACCCTGCCACTCTGAAGCCTTGTTCTCTGCAGCCCTGAGTTGGCAGAGAAGCTGAGAGGTTTTTGCACAGAGCTTGGGAAGAAGGGTTATTGTTGTTTTTTTTGCCAATCTGCTTCTCTCAGGGTGGGCTTTGTGTCCCTTTCTCACTGGTGACAATTACTGTGGTGGCAAAACATGCCTAGGGGAAAGTGATGTGAGCAGAATGAAGCCTTGTGGAAGGGAGACTTGGCAGTGATTGGGTTCACAGAGATACAGGATGGGCTGCTCTGGCTGGAGGAGAGAGGTACTGCAGAAAATAGGTTTCAAATGTTAGTTTATTCACCTTGCAATTACTTTCTAATAAAACCATATTATAGAACTGTCAAGATTGGAAAAGACCTTTAAGATCACTTTTTTTATTGGTACCACTTCTGCTCGGGGAAACCAAGCCATGCAATGTGGTGGCATCTTAATGCAGCATTTATTTCCTTTAAGTTTCCTTGTCCATCATTGTTACATATCTTTACCCCCAACTTTCAACCCGTAATCATAAAAGAGCTCAAGCGTTTATTCCCGTCTCTTAAAACCGCATTTAAAAAATGCTATTAAAACCAATTTCTCCTCCAAGAGATTGCTGTGGAGGGATTCTCACCCTGTCCTGTGTGCTTCCCTCAGCTGCAGGTGGTGGTG